CATACAAATAGGTTGATTTTAGCATCGGACAATTAATAAAATATGGGATCATTGCTTCTTTTCTACGTACGTATAAGATTTCGCCGTAAATTTTCGATCAGCTTTCTAGTGGTTCCCCTTGTATTTGCACTTCATGTGCAGAGTGTGATGTGGCAGCTATATATTAATGGACCGGGTGAGAGAGAGGCGGTGGCCGGCCGGGAACACATTGCAAATAATGTAGCAATGCATGTGGTGGACAGGTCACAGGTGCACGTGAAATGTACGTTAAATCTGACAGTTTGGGGCATACTTTTAGATAGAACCATTATACTGGGCCAAAGTAATGATGTACACCACTGTTGGTTTGTAGTACTTGCATATTGAGACGAAATAAGGCACAATTAATTAGCTAATAATCCTTTTTTGACGGAGCAGTAATTAGCCAATCTGAAATTTTACCATCATACTACAGTTATAGAGTATGTGCAAATAGCGAGTAATTAAGGTCTCAGGTATTGAATTGTTTGCTACTCGTATGAATAACATGCATTGATCATAAAAGAAAATGATTGCAATCCTTTTTCTTCCCGGAGTCACCCTTGGCATGACGTACCCGGCCCTAGCTTCCAGTACGTCATCTTGTTCCATAATGCCAACCGATCTGTCTTTCTTTCCTTTTACGTGTTCACTGCCAGTGCGCCCGTTTTCCCGAGAGTGTGGTGTGGTAGTGAGTAGTAGCTAGTACAAGTACTGGTTTTGATTTGATTGATCGCCGGTGAGCTTTGGAGGTGGGGCCAGCTGGGGCGTGGGTGGTTTGCGCCAATATATTTTTGGGGCCTGTCTGCCGCTGGCTAAACATACATCCTGCCGCTGCATTTTCTATCGATCTATCGCTACCTCGGCCCCACAAACTGTGCTCCCATGCTCACGCGATCCGGCACTACAGTGAACGACTTCTAAGTAGTCCACGTCTCCCCGCCGCGCGCGTCTGGAAAGCAGGTCCCTGACGAGCGGATCATGCCCTTTTTATTTCTTTATTACCATGCGCGTGTTTGATTAACACTTGCATTGATTTTAACCTCCTTGTATCTCTGTCTCTGGTCTGACAAAACCTGGCCGACTAGATGCATGTTCCGAGTGATGTTTGTGTACTGCGTTTGGTTGTCCGCGAAGTTTCATAATGCATGAGAGCAAAAACACAAAGACGACGCCTGATTGCATGTATGCACTCTCCAGACGCAACGCGCGACTGTTTTGGTTATGTGTGTGTCGATGGTTTAATCTCCTCTTTTGCGCACGTGATGAACTAATCTCACGCCATAACTTTTTTTTTCACGCCACTTACAAGGTCATGTACGCATGCGGCATGAATGAAAGCGTCGGGGCAGAACAGAGAATGGAGTTGCTCAGACCCAAAAATAGTGGGCTAACTAAGCGCCGGGATGATGTTTTGTAGCCCAGCAGCGTCTGCCTTTGCCCACCCAAAGGCATGCCTCGTCTTTGATGTGTCGGAGAGGAGGGATATCTCACACCATAACACTTCAACAATTTTATTTATGAGCGTTGAAATAAAAAACTCACAACATGAGAGTTGTTCAGGACAAAGAGATGACGCTACTGTGTTCAAAGTAAAATTTCAAATGATCAACTAAGTGCGATAAATTTGCCAAAAAAATTCTAAACTAACATGCACACGTGAACAGGTTTAGTACCATAAAAAAGGCCGAAACAACAAACGGTCAACGAGCGTTGAAACAACAAACCGGCAACATGAAAATTGTGTGAAATAACGAGATGAAGCTACTCCTCAAAGAAAAATTTCAAACGGTCAACTGTGAGCGATGAGATTGATAAAATTCAGTACCATCCCTCAAACCAACATAGCCACTCTGCACTGAAAGAATAAGTGATTTACTTTGCAGAGTTTCAAGTTCACTCAAAAGGACCAACTGGCCAATTCATTTTAACCTTGTTACTGGTTATAAGTACAACTTCTTGAGCTAGTAGCTATAAAATAATCTTGATTTTGGCAAGAAGCTTATTAATTGCTTTTTGAAATGAACAACTAGTTAGAACTTACCAAGGAATTGGACAACTGAGTAACCGAAGACCTAATAATTTAAAGGTATACATCTCAGATTGTTTTTTCCAAGCACAGCGAACCTTATAAATATTGGTTAGGGAAGGAACTGGAGCCACATTCGTCAAGATTACCAGGATTGAAAAATCTCATAAACTCAGGATATTAATACCTTATCCTCACTGATATCATACAACCCACGGTGTGCAAAAGCAAGGAAAAGGAAGACTCCCTTTACAATGCCATTGTATGCACTGAGTGGGTTGAGTTGGGTGGGATCAGGTATGTAAAGGAATAGGGAGAACATCCTGATCCAATTCTCTATTTACTTTGCATATTCATGACTACTGGCATTAGCTGCTTGAAATGTTAGTTGAAGTTGTGTGCAAATTTTCATGTCTTATTTGGCCATCTCGCAGCATTTATTTATATTCTTGGACATGTTTTTGATAAATTATTTCTGGACAAGAGGTACGAATTAAGCCGGTTGTGCTGTACACAAAGCATGTTGGCAGTGGTTGGCGGCCATCGGACGCCGGCCACTACGTCCTAAACCACGACGCACGCCATCACCCGAGCGCATCGCCGCCGTGAAACAAACCTTCTGTTGTAGTACTACGTAATAAAAATTTACCTCATCCCTGCATGCGTGCAGTTAATTAAGCGCTAGGAAATTAGTCGGGCGCAATGATTAGAGAAACAGACCTGGTATTAGAAACTAGCCTTGCGCCCTCTTGTTCGGAATTTTGGCCAAAACAATCTACTGCCACATTCTTTTCGGGAAATGATGGATGGAGTAATTCCTAGCTCATTCCCTGCTCCTTAATTTCAGGGGAAAGGAGTTGTCTTCTTGTTCGTCGTTCTAGCCAGCCATTCCAAAGCTTTATCAGAACGAAGCTTCCATTCCACCGAGTTAAAAGCAGAGCAGATTGTGGCCCACACCCACCATGTATGCTCATTCATTCACGCGTGTGCGCGCACACACACACACACACACACAGAGAGGAAGCTATTGAAGAAAATGTAAAATGAGTTCAGCTTTTTGGGAGTAGACGCTATTGCAGGTAATAGACCTCATGCAGTGGTGTATCATAGCAAGTATCATAATATGAAAGTAGGCAATTTTTCTGAGGTGTCATACAATTAAATGAAGAAAGAGACGGTTCAGGATCATATCATGATACTTCCTCCATTCCTTTTTACTTTGAGTATAACATCTGTATCAAGCCAAACTTTGCAAAGTTTGATCATATACCTTAATAAATGATGTGTTACTGTGTGTCATGCATGATAACATATATATGAAGTTATCTATGATACCAACTTATGATAGTATACACTATGAAGGTAATATCGTATACTAGTAGCATATGCATTATCCAGTGTATGATACTCCCCACTACAAGTAGCCAAAACATTTCATATTACGTGATTACAAGATACGAGACTCAATTCACCATGTCAGCATTTAATCATCTTGTTGCTCTACATTTAATAAAGCATTTTTTAACCGAGATATCCATGTTTCCACTACTTTACATAACAGGAGTATGGGAAGTGTCTTACAGAACCAGTATTGCGAATCCAACCTCTACCAAGACATCAGTAGGCCATGAGACGAAAACCTCGAAGAATGATAGCTGGTCATAACAGATTGCTCAAACACGAGAAAAGCAACAACCGGCATCCTAACAAAAAAACAAGTCCAAAAGCACAAAGCAGCTACAACTTAGCAATATCAGGCTCAGCAGAGAGACTGCAAGACGGAGCAGTGGCCTGAGTATCCTTCATCGCGTGACAAATCTTCATGGGGGGTCATACATTAATTTGGGCAATTGGAAATTAAGGTAATCATTTTCTTTCTCCAGAGAACATTATATTTCCCTTTGAATATAGTAAATGGTGCGACACAATGATCTTGCAATGTGCGATGGAGAGTAGCTTACGTTTCCCCTTATATAGCCTCCCAGTTGGCGAAACATCAAGAGGTCACGCAAGGACAAAAAGGAATCAAAACTAATGGAAAATGGTGAACTATTGGTTTTCTTGGAATGAATTAAGCTCCCACTCAATTAAATTAAATGGTAACAAAAAATTCAGCATTCCAACGGACAACTCATGCACTAGCTAGGGTTAGCACGATCATGAAATAGGAGGGCGTCAGTGTGGTGG